AATTCCCTTTCATGGGTACTTGCCACATTTTCTGCTTTGCTTTGTCAAGTATAGTCTAGAACAATTATTAGTTGGTTTGGAGCATTTGGAAAATAATGTAGTGTTTTCCAGCAGAGATTTATCAAAAACAAGTCATGCCAAACCAGCCTGATTTTTATTTCTTTTTGTTTTTGAGAGTGACCGGTTTAGTTGACCAGGGGAATGCAGTAGACATATTGATTTAACAAAACATTTGACAAGTGTTTCATGAGCAAAAACTGGGCTGGAACATACTACCATCAGATCAACATAGATCTGATTGAACAATTGTACCCAGTGAGTATACATATGTCAGTGGCTCTGCATCAAACTGGAAGAGGGTGATGAGTGGTGTACCACAGGGTGCTTATCTAGGCTTTGTAATGTTAAACATATTTATAAATGAATTCTACGAGGGGTTAGAAAATCTGGTTGTCAAATGTTCTTATAACACAAAGAGGTTATGGGGGGGGGGGATAGCAAACACCTTTGGAGACTTATCAAGACTGAGGAAGATCTTAACAGGCTGAAAGAATGGACAGAAACCAACAAGATAACTTTCAGCAGGGACAAACAAAAAATTGTTTGAGCAGGAAAAATCAAGGCATTAGTATAGGATGGAGGTACATAGTGGGCAGCAATACCTATGAAAAAAATCTGGGGTCTTGGTAGATCAAAAACTAAACATGAATCAGCAGTGTGATGCAGCTGTAAAAAAAGCAAATGCAATTACAGACTTCATCAACAGCCATATATATCAAGATCATGAGAATTCAGCTTTCCTCTCTCAGTCCACACCTGGAATATTTGTCCAGTTCTGGATGCCACATTTTAGGAAAGATATTGGTAAACTGAAACATATCCAGAGAACAACCAAGATAATAAGGAGCCTGGAAGGAAAAATTCATGAGACATAGTTATAGGCACTAAGTATGCTTAATCTGGAGAAGAGAATACTGTCTGGAGACATGATAGATTTCTTCAAGTACCCAAAAGACTGTCATGTAAAGGGAGAGATACACTTATTCAGATTTTTTCTGGTAGACAGGACAAGGGGGAAAAAAAATAGCCTGAAATTTCTGATGGGCATCAGGAAAGTTTTCCTAATACTAGGAGCTGCTCAACAATGGAACAGCCTTCCTCTGGTCTCTCCTTCACTAGAAGGTGTGGATTCTTCTTCACTGGAGGTATTTAAACAGAGGATGGATAGCCATCAGTCAGGGCTGCTGTAGTAGTGGGTTCTTGCACTGGGCAGGGGATAGGACTAGATGGTCTCCAAGGTCTCTTCCAGTCCTTAAATTTTGTGATTCTGTGACAAGTCACCTGTCTTTTTTCTTCCCATACTTTTTGATCCTACATAACATTTTTTTTATTATTGAGATGAAGTTGATATGAACTATATAACTATGTGTTGGATATAGTCTTCACTGAATTTATCCCCTGCAAACATAAGAGTTATAATCCAATATACCTGGAAGGTACAAGGATGGGGAAAGCTGGACAAATATTGAACTTCTGAATTTTCTACAAGTTGCTTACTCATCTAAAGGATAGCCAAGTGAGAACTGATTTTCCGATATTGCCCAGTTAGCATTTCTGTCCTGAAGGCTGAGAAACTGTAGTGGCTGGATTTGTTTTGAGTAATGGATGATTTATGTGTAATGTTTAAAATTGCTGTACCAATTTCATTACACTCTATTACTAACACTATTGTACCTGTAGATGAATAAATGGAGACCACTGTGAAATTAACAGGGGTTTTTGTGATCCATAGAATAAAACACTAAATATTATTTCTTGGTTCTTATCAGAATAAATAAATATCAGTTTTTCTTAAATTAGGGATATAAATGCCAGAACAGATTTAAGATTGAATGAAAGAGCTTAAAAGAGTGTCTAATATATAGGATGTATTTTAAGGTTCCAAGGTGGGGGGAAGGTAGAATATTGTTTGTGATCTCCCCACCACCATTTTCTCTCCCCCTGTCATTTTCTTCTTACTGTATCCTATGTCACAGTGTAATTCTTTTCTCATTTTTTGTACACTGAAACCAATGACCCAATAAATGGGAGTGCATGGGAAACTGAAATGCTGAAATAACTCATTTGTTTCATTGCCTTGAATGAAGAACAGGAATCAGCCTGATCATTTCAATTACAGAATCATGCTTTGAATGGAGCTTCTTGTGTGTGGGGCACAGATCAATTGTGCCTCACTTCCGGGAAAAAAAAAGGGGGGGGAGGGTTTTTGTCCTCCATGGAAGAAGAGGCCATAGCCAGCTCTAGAAAAACAAAGTTATTTGGCTAGCACGTTTAGAAAGATATTTTCTGTCTGCACAACTCTATCAAAAGCAGGCAAGAACATGGGCTTTTATAGCACTTTAAAGTCAACTCACTTGAATCACCTACTTGTTAATATATGTGATTAAAGCATGTATTGTCAGAACAATATGGCCCAAATGCTTTAGCTGCCATAGAAACATCTAAAGTAGTTGCATATTTAAGAGAAGCTGTATTTGAAGTAAAACTGACATTTATATAAGAAATTAAAGAATGCAACAAAGGCTCATATTGGTAACATTTATGATTTATAGAACAAGGAATTGGAATATCCAATTTTGAAAATCAGTGAGTCCAAGTTTTAAGAAATGTTAAATACACTTATTAAAGATGAAGTTAATCCATCAGAAAATTCTAGTTTGTATCTATTGGCCTCCATATTGTAAGAAATGTGGGGGCTTTTTGATTAATATGATGTTTTCTTATGGCTCCTTTTTGGTCTCTCTCTGTCTCTCTGTCTCTGTCTCTCTCTCTATATATGCACACACACAATCAGTTTGATTCAGGGGAAGGACATAGTTGTTCTAGAGGTAAACATAATATTCCAAAAATATGAAATTTAACATTTTATGAAAAACTTTGGCTTTAATTTGCCTGGGGATTGGTGAGAGAATTAACTTACATAGGTGGATAGAAAGTAAGGCTTCAGATGTTAAAGAGTGGATTCAGGAGATGTGTTCTTTGTCAATCTTTGAAATGTCAAATCTTATTTCTAAACAGCAGAAACGAGAAGATGGAAGATTATGTTTCTATATGGTCTAAATTTAATAACATGATAAATGGCTGAGCTTTCTGTGTATTAATATTCCTCACTAGGACTTGTTTTATGAATCTTTTTTCATCTTTCTCTTTCTTCTTTTCAGTTTATTACTGCCATTATTCTTTCTCATTGTATTATCATGCATGTCTTTTCTTTTTATCTTTTCCTGTTAATTTCACTTATAAAACAATAAAAAATATATTTTAAAAAAGTGAGCAGAATTTCAACCACTCCAGAGAGAATATTCTTCCTGAGGATTGATGGAAAAGATTCTGAGCAGTTTTCGAACAGCAGCCCAGTCAAATGTCAGTGTACAACCTAGTTAAATCATATGTCCATGTCATAAGAATTGAACAGTGAAATTTAAATGGCTGCAGCTTTTAGATAGGCAGCCATTTAAAGGGGCATCCTGTAGGACACTGTTTCTTAGCCCCAGCAACTTTAAGCTGTGTGGATTTCAACTCCCAGAATTCCCCAGCCAGCATGCTGGCTGG